ATAGACTGTTTAGGTTTTTTTTCTTAAATTACAAAACTTAAATGCAACTCCCTCTACCTACATTTCTCCCTATTCCATTTTACCATTTGATACTCTACTAAATAATACTTTAAAAACCCCTCTACACTAATATGACTGCTTGGCTTTCTCAGAGCTGTGACCAAGCTTCACTCAGGCATTTTAAAAGCCCTTGTCTGGAGCTCCTCCCACTGTCAAAATGCCAACTGTCTAACTCAAACACTATGTACATTCTCCATCACTGTTATTAAGAAATGCACCTGATGGATTGAGGCAAGTACAGCACCAAGTCCACAGGGCTAACAAGTAACAGTTTATTTACTTAAAATACAACTGCACTTAGTAAGAGTGATTTGTACAAGTAACAGAGCTAAATGGTGCTCCTCAGATTTTTCTGCACCTGATTTTAAGCCCACCAGAACACCCACACCATGGACAGGTCAAAAAGTGAAGCCAAAAGCTGGATGCTGCTACTTGTCAGCATCTGGCCCCACAGCACTGATCCCAGCCAGGAATTACTCATCAATTCAACAGCTCAATAAAGTGCATTACCCTGTACTTTAAACCTTCATAGAGTAAAGCCACGGATTATTACTACTATGTTTGCTTTAAAAAGAGAACCAAAAATTAGCAGTTTATACCTCAGAGTAAGGTTGGATTCAGAGATAATGCTGATCTGCATAAGTACAAGACGAACAGTTTGTATCAAGCAGAACTCATGACAGATTATGAAGTTTAACAGCATCGCCCAAAAAAGTTTCCAATGCTATAAATATACCAAAACCACAATGAAGATAAAACATGTTGACAGTCTTGCACAGGTTTCATTAATCCTCTGATTTATTAAACTCTATCACAGCAGTAACTACATTTGTCCATGAAGACATACAAAATTAGCTCAGTAAGTGCTTATGTTGGTCAATCTAATAGCTGTTGTCAATGAAAGTTCCCCTTCAAAATGCATCCCCCTTTCATAAACAGCATAAAAGACGAGTTTCTTTTGCTATAAAAGAAATCAGTAAATTGACTCCAAAGTAAGATTGTGCTAATCTGTAGGAGGGAAAGTTTCAGTCAGAATATCATTACACACAGTATAAGCAGACATTCCCAAAATCATTAAGCTTAATTCTTAATAGGTTAAAGCTGGTACAGGAGCAAAGCTACCTAGGTCCCTTTCAGGAAGTCACCATGATACTGAGGACATTTTCCCACACCAAAGCTAGGAATGTTTTGATTCAGCCTTGTTGTTGTTGTTTGAACTACTTAGAAATCAGTGTAATCTGACTACTCAGATATCTTTTGAATGTGTTCAAGGTGTAAAAATTAAGTCCTACAGGCCCCATCACATTCCCTTCTCTCAAAGAAGTTCCAAACAGCAGCGTTTACCCCAGAGAAGTGACTTAACCAAAACTTACTTTACTAAAGAAACTAATGAGCACTTCCCTGTAAGAAACATCAGCCTTTGCTTTATCTGTTTTGGTAGCAACAAGTTGTGGGGAAGTACTTTGTCTCCCAGAAACTCAGTGCAGGCTTTTGGCTAAGTTCTGAATTCTTCTCTCTACATCAGTCCCTCACACAATAGAAACCCACCAGCAGCTTGTGAGGCTTCAGCTCTGGTACAGAACTTCCAGGCAAAGCCTTGGCAGGAAACCACAGAAATCCTAGAATAGGAAGCAGACAGAATTCAGCAACTCTCAGGTTGCTCTGTTGGTCTGCTTGTCTGGGGAGAAGGATGTTTGTTTCAGAGAGGTTTTCCTTGCTCTGCGCTTCTCCCTCCCTCAATGTCACCTACCCCTGGAGCTAATGGAAGCTGCACAAGTAGCTACCTACTGAAGGTAGCAGTCTGAAGAAACAAGACTGGAGGAAATTAAAAAATCAGTTTGGAGGGGAAGTTACCAGAAAAGCCCAACTGAACAAGACATCTACAAACAGACATGTTGGACCTTGCTGGAAGAGAAAAGATATTGACATTAATTTGTCATTTATACTTGAAAAAGTTGGTCTCATGCAGACAACTCAAGACCAAAAATTCCAGACCAAGTATATTCCTAGAGCGGAAACCCATGGACAATGTCTTGTCATGGCTTCTAAAGTACACAGAATTACTCTCCAAATATATCTAAAAGACTTAGTAAGATAGAAGTAGCAGAAAGTTCATTAAATGTCAGATATAATTCATGTGTGCTGGTCTAGACACTGGCCTAACCCATCTAAAGGGATTCAGTCTTCTAGACCACTACCAAGACTTGTTTGACCTTAAATCTCAAAAAATTCTAATACAAAAACTGTGGTTCCCATCCAGACAAAGAGAACAATTTGGAAAATTGAGAAGCATCACACTATGAAGTGGCACTTGGAATAGAATAAACATTAATTTCTCATATATTTTATTTCCAGATAAAAGGTGGCAATGGCAACAGAAAAGGTTCAGAGCTACAAACAGAATTATGATTCCTAAGAGAATTTTTTTAAGATTCACAAGTTTCTAGCACATCTTTTAAATCTTTATAAAACATCATAAAAACAAATCCATGTCCATGCAACCTAGTTTCTTTAATGTACAAGAGACTTAAAAAAAAAATCTATGCTTTGGTTTTTTTCTCTTAGAAATTATTTTATATTCCATTACATTATTTATATCACATTACCCCAACAAGACTTTTTAGTATTATAATTAGTATTATAATAAATACAGCAAGATGTTCAGGCCATTTCTTATTATATTCTGAAGACAAGCAGGCCCATTGTGCAACAAGGGGCAGATGTGTAAAAAGAGTCTTACCACTTTGGAATAAGTATAATGTTTGAGGCAGTCTGATTAGTGAAGTAAAGTCTGTATGAAAGTGTAATTTATCAACTCCACATGAAATTTTTGTCATCAATTCCTTCATTGAGGATTCTGTCTCTTTCAGTAAAGTCTCATGTCAGGACAACCATTTTTATTAGATGTGGTATAATCAGTTATTGCCCAAAAGCCTTTCATGAGTTAGCTGTCTTTCTGTTGAACACACTACTTCCAAAAACTTAAATTGCCTTGAAAAAGTATCAAGCTTCCAGTGAGTCAGACCAAAACAAGAAACATCCTGAATTCAGATTCCCAGACTGATGAACTTTCCCTATCTATTTTGAATAAAGGCAGTCTTGAAGACATAAACCATTCAACTGGAAGCCCCTTTCAATTCAGAAAGTTATAATATCCCACATCACATACTCCCTTCCTGTATAGCTTACTCTAGCCCTTAGTTTTCAGTAGCTATGGAAGATTTTTCACCTCTTGCATGAGACTAAAGAGCTCTCTACATTTAAAACTGAGATGAAGAGCACCAGGTTAACATGTCAACTGCATCAAGTAGCTGCTTGAAGGTTTGGAAAGCATTCAGACTGAAAAGCAAATGACCTGGTTACACAGTATTGTAACAACTCTAAGTGCTCTAGGTTTATATTTTTTTTTAAAAACCTCTCAGCATGGAGACTAGAAGTGGTTGTTTTAATTATAAACTCCAGCCTCCTGCACAAAGACAAGCAATGAAAATCCACTGTGTGACTCCTACGAAAGTATCATAGCAGAAAAATATAACAATAGACTGGAATTTCTGACACATCTAATTTTAAGCTGCAACTTTCACTACAAAGGTTATCAAAAATCATCATAGCCCATACCACTCTTTAAATATTCAGACTTTCATGTGATTTAGCTTTAAGTGAAATATTGCTCCATGGCTTTACAGCCAGGAAATAAATGACTTTATATTACAGCAACACCTTCAAATCTAAAAATGAACAATAATAAAAAATTCAAGCAGTGAAACAGATTATTGAACTGCAGCTAAAACTTTTCTTTAAAAGTCCAAAAGTGCACAGAGCTGCAATTGTTATTTCACCTGTATCCCTAGCAATCAAGGTGCACAGGAAACCTACTGGAAAACAAATTTTCCTAAAAAGTGTGCTGAAGATATATATACTTGTCAAAGTGACAAACCTTCCTTAAAAGTGAAACTATGCTAGTGCTTACTTGTTATGTCAACCTCCTATTTATTGCACAGGTCTAATGGAAGCCTTAATAAATAAGCACTAATGAGAAAACAAGAGTAATGCATGTAGAAGTTCTGCAGGTTCACTTGTTTTAAATTACTGTCTTCCATCCTTAAACTACTTCATATACTTCTTACTGATTAATTTAGCCTATAGATTTATCAGATAATAAAATATTATCACCATCTTTCATACGGCTTGATGAAGTACTGCAGGGACAAACAAGACGTGGCTTCAGGTTAAAAACTATTCTGTGCCATTAAAATGTGATTCTCCAAATCAGCTCAAGCCTTACTAAAAACTGTGATACAAGCAGGCTTAAAATACTGTTAGAAAAACCTACTGAAGAATTAAATTGTTCTTTGTCAAAATCATGTGGCCTTTAAAACACTGAGCTTCTTTTCTACAAGCAATTAGATTTTCAGTCTCTGTATCCCATTTTATCCCATTATTCTTTAAAGAGTAATCACATTACATTCAAGCTTAAAAAAAGCTTCCGAGTCAAAATTAGGCTTATTTTTGTAGAAAGTACATGGAAACAGTCACCGGTTATAGGTGTGTGCACTGCATTACAGTGCCATGTTTTAACATCACAAGTGTTTAAGTTAGCAAACTAACCCATTCTGAACTAGAGATTCCGTAACATATTGGAAGACATTCCATTCCAAAACATTTTGGAAGATATTTCTCCTCTCTAGTGATAAAAGCCTAGTCTAAATACAGTTTTCTTCTGTTCCTAAAACAAATGAAATTATCAACACTAGCAGTTAGAGATTAGTTCCAGTTCTTCTGTGCAAACAGTAGTAACAGCACCTTTCACATGCATATGACTATACACATACAGGATTTTGCCTAGACAGACTTGTCTTCAACTCATTTACAGTGCTGAGCTCTTGGAAGGCATACGTTTTACTCCCATCACCAAAGCTCCCTATATATTAGCTACTTACAGAGAAAATGGGCAGGGTGAACCCCACTGTGTAGAGGACAGTGGATGTGATGGTACTGTCATGGAACGGATACTTGATGCTGTCATCATTACAGAAAAAGCCTCTTTGATACGGTTTTATTTTGGCCAAGTTTAGAACACCAAGGGGTAAGCCAGCTGTTGGGGGAAGGAAAACAAAAAACAAAAACAAGAAATACATGTGGTTAAATCAAAAAAAAAGAAATAATTTCTAATCATGCATGGAGGAAGCTACCAAACATGCATAACTCAAATTTCCTAAGTATCATGCAATGCACACACTTACCAAATTCTGTTTATAGGCATTTCTGAAGACTGCTTCAGAAAGACTGAGGTTCCCAAATCACGTACAGATGTCAAAAAAAAAAAAAGTTCAAAGTCTTCCATCCATACGGTGAGTTGCCACCAAACCACATGGAATCAAGATTACATTCAAGAAAAAGCCTTTTCCCCTCACATGACTCAACAGTTATTGAGGGCAAGCAGCTTTTTGTCTCTCCTCCCTCTGCCACTACCCTACGACCTTGGCTTGTATCTGATTTGCCAGCCTTGTTCTATACACTGTCAGTGTTTACAGATAAGAAAGAATAGACAACAGGTTTTATCTTGGTTATGGAGTCAAATTTCATGCAAGTAGTTTTCATGCAGGTAATGCGAACAAGAGAACTGCACGCTCACTAATGGACACTTTGAATGGACTGCATCTCTAGGTAATGAGACTGTACCTTAAGACTGCATTTACACAGCTTTTTTACACTTTGGAAGATTTCTGCATGAAAATATACAAGTTATTAACACGGCAGCTGAGACCTGGGTACAAGTGATAGTTCTCAGAATCTACACACTGTGATACATTATCAATTCCCTCTTCTACAAGTTGCCTTGCATTATAGTGACAGTCATATGAAAGAAGCCATCAAGACTTCTGATAATTATATTCAGGTCTAGCTTATTTCTGATAAGAACCACCTGCCATGTAATACATATTTGCAGGAGCAATAACCTCAGGAAATTAAACTTTATTTCTCATAAAATCAGTAAGGTTGGAAAGTACCTCCGAGATCATCAAGTCCGGCCTTTAACCAAATAAAACCATGCCCACTTTCTCCCCTTCCTTTGATCAATGGAGCAAGTGACAGAAGTGGGTAACTGACATAGTGCTAAATCCCCAGAGATAGCAAAAAGTAAATTTTGTTTTAAAACATGGTTAAAAAGGGCAAACAACTTTGTATGTTCCCCAACATCCATGTAATAGGCAACTCTGCAAATAGACACTATATGTAAATTAGAGGGTGCATGCAATTCCCAAAGCAGAAAAGACTGCTTGGTATATAAACAACCTGTTCTACTGAGAACAAAAAACATCTCAAAGATGTTAACATTATGAGTGCTTGCTTTGATTTCTGGTGACACCTGTTGACTACCAGGTAAGTAGCCTAAAGGTGTTTTAAGTAAGCTTATTGCTTTATACTTCATTAGAAGAAAAGACATCAAGAGTGAAACAGTAGGAACAGTAATAAATCCTGGCTCCTTCTTTGGGCTGGTGAGTTGAAGTGCAAAGGCTTGTGAAGTACATATTAAAACTGTACATGGTTGGTAGCACCCCAGCTTTCAACTCTTCTGAGAAAATTGCTATGGTCAAAAGAAAGCAGTTTGGGAATATTTAAAATCCTCTTATGGAGCAGAGGGAAATTACTTTCACAAATAATCTAAAATATGAAAACTGTCCACACTTACTGATGCTTACCATCCCATATAGAAAAAATGATCCAAAATACAAATAACATTAAGCTTATTCAAATTCAAGCATGAAATTTTTCATTAAGTAGCATGGTATACCACTGAATCAACTATATCTCAAAAGTCTCTCTCCTTTCTTCTGCTTTAATGACTGAGAGAAGAGCTAAAGCTTGACCAAGCACAAGCAGCAGTCAGAAGCAGATGAAACAGAATTGCAGCCCTTTAAACATGGAAGGGGGCCACATTGAAGAACTCAGAAAGCTCACTCTGACCAAGGGATTGCTGTATATTCGTTTGCCTGAAGCCAAGTTTCAGCTACTCTCAAGGCCATGGCAATATTCCACTAACAAGAGTCCAAGCTTCCGGTCTTTACCTCTGCTACTGCAGGATGATGGAATGGTAATCCCATTACCTATTTGATACAATCATATCTTCTCAAACAGGTCACCAGATTTTCACATACGGAAGTATCACATGCTCATGATCAATTTAAGGAGCAGCTGGTGTTTTGCAGAAGTGGATTACTTCACAGATATAAATACCTGTTTTCCACAAAAAGTTGCTACAATCTAGTATCAAGAATTATAACACATAACGAGCTTCTGACCTGGGAAGGGGGGAAAATGAAAAGCAGCAAATAAATGGGGCAGAGGAGAACAGTTTCAAAGTAACTGCAAAACTCATCTGTATAGCCTTCATTAAAAGAATACAAAAAAAGGAAGTCAGTTACACATCTTACACTAACTGCCGATTTTCATTTCTTTTTCATTACTGTTAAATTCTTACTGCAATCTAAATGATGCACTGCTGAACAGAAGATTCTGTGAAGTATTCAGTTGATTATTAACCTATCCCAAATAGTGGTAGCATTTTTACTGTTGCTCATTTTACAGGGAGAGAAGACGAGACTTAGTACCTGTAAGCAAACAGTCATGAACTTTTCATTGTAAGCAGAAAAAAAACCCCACCACTTACGTACATAACAGGTCAGTATTGCCAGAGGTGCCAAGCATCTCTGTGACCTTTAAGCAGCCTGAACTTCTGAGGAAAGTATTTATGTTCAATCTCATCAGCTTCTACAAATTGGAGCAAAGAGTGATCAAGATCTCGTGCAAGATCACCAGGCTAAAAGGCAGTCTTGTAGAGCAGTTCTCATGCCTGATCCTCTGCTCAGTATACCTTCTTTTCCTTTTCACCTAGCCAGCACCAGAAGTAACCTCAAGGTGCTCTTCTGAACCAAGTAGCTTTGTACCTTAAGGGATCATAATGGCTTCACTGTGATTCATGTCCTATAATTCAAATCCTATATCCTTCAGCTGTAAAAAAGAACTATTACTCGAAGTCATCCATCATTCAGACTGGAACAGATAGAATCCAATTCTAGGATATTTTCTGGTAAAAATTGTGCAGCTTATCTTGTCAAGAACTACTGACCAATAGACTCTGGGCTATTTTGTTAGGTAATATCAAGAAACAGACAGCAGTCCTGTGATCTCTCTCCTTTAATTATGAAAGGAAAACAGCTTGGTCACTCCAGTGCCCCGTGACATACAAAAGGACACACTTCTGCAGTGCTCACTCAAATAGACTCAAGCTAACCCACACACCAGCTGGATGGGGCTTGGAGCAACCTGACTGAGTGGAAGGTGTTCCTGCCCATGGCAGGTGTATTGGCATGAGATGATCTTTAAGATTGCCTCCACTCAAAATATCCTATGGTTTTATAACCCTGAAAGCTACAGATGTAACAAACTTGAATAGGAAAAGAGACTCCAAAGATCTGAAGCCTTTGCCTATGAAAGAAAAGTAAACAAGCTTTATACACATGAACACGCTAAAAAGCAAACAGGATAAAGAGGGAGACAAAGGCAAGAGCAATGACTGAATTATTAAGAGTGGATTGCAGGGACAGAACAGCCTTAAGTTTGGGCTAGAACTCTAAGAACAGGGCAACACACATTTGGAAAGTTACATAAGGTATGGTAAGTTCACATGGAGTTTCCAGCTCTAATTTGTAGGTCCAAGCAAGTTGCAGTGTAGTTTCTTCTGACCACCTACAGTAATTCACAGTAATATACACAGCCTTCAGGAACTATTTGATCACATCTAGCTGGATGACATAGCATGACAAACGCCTGAAAGAAGGGAAGGAAGGGAGGTCCACGCTAGGAGAATAGGGAGGAAGTCCCATGTGAGAATGGTCCTCCACCCACAGAAAAAGAATGTTAACAATAAAATACCAGTACCCAAGGGGAGAAAGTGATTTTTTTTTCCCAAAGGAAGATTGTTTACTCAAAAAATGTTGATTTGCTGTATTTTCAGTGATCTTTTCAAGACTAAACAAAAAAATTATATTTCATAGTTTATCCTACAAATGGAAATGATGGGTACCAATCCATCATTTTCTTACAATGTGCGTAATGCTGTACAACTGTTTTGATCTTTGTCTTTTACAACAGTTGCCAAAAATATTTAAGATCAGCAAAGAATATTGTCTTACATTTAAAAGGAAATAAACTCCTAAAGTTTCTAACCATTTCACTGATACTGTACTACCTAGTTCTCAACTTGATGTAGTGCTCATAAAACTTGGCTCAGCTTTCAAGAGCAACCCAACACAACATAGACTGTCCTGTCCCTCTCCCATCTCTGGCCATCCCCCACTACCCCTTTCTTGCCTATGCCCACACAACACTGGTTTTTCAGAGGCACTTGCTCACCTGGCCAACAGTATTACTGCAAGAGCCAGTTTAAAAAGAGTAGGAACATATAGCCAAGGGTGTGGAATAAAGAACAAGGACAGACTGGGATAGATCAGCTTCAACACCTCAGGAAACTCCATCTTGATCAGTGGTGATTTCTTTCCCACAATTTTAAATACTACTAAAGAATGCACTGTATTTTGTAAACACACCTTAATTAACCCACTTTACCTCCTTATCCATACAAGTGACAGAATCTCCATTTGAGGTTCTGTGCAGCCAAACTCATGCTGAATTGCTGTTTCAAGTCCTCCAAGGCAAAATTACTCTGTACTCCTATCTGGTCCTCAATCAGGAAGTTCTCTTCAACAAAAATTAATACATAGGAAATGGGAGAACGGCAGTTACCCTTAACAGACACTATGGCAAATGAGAACATTCTAGCTTGATTATTAACCAAAGTTTTTTCTTCATGCTGCAATGAACTCACAAGTAAGTGTTAATTAAGAGAACCTGTACTGGACTAACACAAGACTGAGAAGAATTTTTATGTTTCTCTACACTTACCCTGAAGAATATGACCAATACATTCTGCACTTGATATGCTGACAAAGTATAGAACAGAAAAACACAGTTTATAGTTTAGTTAGGGAGTGTCAAACAATAATTCTAGCTGTACCAGAGAAATAATGAAAC